AGGGGGGATCTTGTGGCCTGTTATAAACTGGTTAGGGGGGATCAGCAGGCGCTGGGGGAGTCCCTGTTCCCCCGAGCGCCGCAAGGAGTGACCAGGAACAATGGTCACAAGCTGGCGGAGGGAAGGTTTAAGTTGGACATCAGGAGGCGCTACTTCACGGTCAGGGCGGCTAGGGTCTGGAACCAGCTTCCAAGTGAGGTGGTGCAGGCTCCCACCCTGGGGGGTTTTAAGAGGAGGTTGGATGACCACCTTACTGGGGTCGTTTGACCCCGGTGCTCTTCCTGCCATGGCAGGGGGTCAGACTAGATGATCTGCTCAGGTCCCTTCCAACCCTAGAAACTACGAAACTATAAAACTAATCCCAGTTTTTCCTTTAACACGAAGTAGGAAGTTTTTAGCAACAATTGTTTTGGTGACTTCGGCGTTTCTTTAAATGTAGGTAAGCTAAGCGAAGCAAACAATTTGTGTAAATGCTGTAAGCTAGCGAGTCTTGATTGCTACATAAGGAACTAAAATTTCTGCCCACACCTACAAGTTCTCAATAAATGATGCTGTTGAATCAGGTTTATGTTACTGCTCCAGCTAGTGGGTGGGGTACTATAAAAGGTTAGCTGTAAGTTTTCTTAGAGAAGAAGTTAAGTTGAAGCTCTTAGTTACACAGAAGCTTCCAAAGGCATTAAGTCTGAAAGATGTTCTTAAAACAAAATAAAATAAAACCTCCTCTCCAGCTATTTGAAAGATCACTGGCAAACAAAAATGGTTGAGTATATTAGGAATGGAAGTGAATGTGCCAATAGTTAAATAGTCAACAAAGATGAATATCAGCTTAATTAAATAAAAACCAGGAGCAATTAAAGCATTCAGTATCTTTCCCACCACATGTTGGGGCCTGGTTCTTATATAATAAAGATGTGCATCTAAAATTACTATCATTCTTAAAGAAAAGCTTTTCAAAAGGTGCCTCTGTGTGGCGTATGTAATCCTCATGTATCCCCACTCCCAGACAGATGTCTTCTAATTATCACCTTGCCAGCAATTCCTAACTCCCAGGTGAGATCATTTGATGCTGATACTGGGTGTTCTTTGTCTTTGCTGTACCAAATACTTATCTGATATCAGGAATATCCAGTAACTTTAATAAATACTGTTCCTTTTAATTAAATTTTTGCAGGTAGACATGGACAAGACTGGTGAAACACGCCTGATAGAGCTGGATGAGTCTTACAAGAGTGAACACACAGTGTTTATAACGCCACCTGAGATCCCTCACCTACCCAATGGGGAAGAACACCCTTTGCAGTACAGGTATTCAAGGGAGCAAAATAGGATAGTGGCCAAAAACAGCAGATGGTTGCCTTCCTACAGCTAACTTGTAGGCATTTATTTATTTATTTTGGTACAGAACAGAGGTATTTAGTACTTCTAGGTCTAGAACACAGGTTTCCCAGTTCCATTACTTCTTCTGTAAAAATGCTGGCACATACATGATTGGTTTTCTAATGAAGCTAAAGCTGTCATGATTCTTAATATGGACCATGACCAGCTCTACTCTGGACTATGCTGGCTGTTACATTTTAAAACTTACCAGCCAAGGACCCTGGCTGCAGTTCTAGAAATACCTTGTGTGAAATGCTGAGTGTTCTGCGGCTCCCCTTAATTCCAGAGAATTTAAGCAACAGGAGAATCGGGCTCTCAGGTGACAACTGATGTTGTTAATTTAGTAATTACTTGTCAAATGAGATTATTTCTATTGGTTTCTTTGTTACATTACTAAAAATCCTTTTTAAGCTAGAAATGTAATTTAGGCTTTCAGACTGATCGTGTTAATATAGATTTTTATAGGCCTCTATGGCTATGCCACAACTTTCTTGTTAGTGACTAAATAAGCTTCACAGAGGTTTTTTGCATTAACTGCAATCAATGTTAATACATTTGGGCTAATTTAATGGAATACTAATAAAGAAAAACTCTTAAGAGTTGAAGTTTAAGTATGTGAATGCAGAGAGTCAAGAGCTTGTGTTGTGCAGATCATTCTAGACCAGTGTTGCCCAGTCTTGTCACCCTGTGAACCAGATGAGCAGTGCCAGGTCAGTCTGCAGGCTGGATCTGGTCTGTGCAGCCACCGCCCATCCAGGGCCTGATCCAAGTGTTCAGCCTGATCCTGTCATATGAGGCTTTGAAAATGTGGGTCAGTGTTAATTACCACCATTCCCTGTCATCACATTTCCAGACCCCTGGGGAGTCCCATGGGTCAGATGTTATTGGTTGTAGCCATAGTGGTCTAAGGATATAGGCAGGAAAGGTTATTTGGGTAGATGTGATATATTTTATTAGAGCAACTAAATAGTTGGAAAAAAAGTTCATTGCAAGCTTTCAGGCACAAACGCCCTTCTTCAGGCTTTGGGAGACTCTGCTAATGTTGTGGGTTCTCCAAGACAGAAAAGAAGCTGGAGTAAACACGAAGTCTGAAGATGCAATGAGTGGAAGTTCAGAGGGCAAAGGGTAACAATAGGGGCAGTGGGGGGAAAAGTGTGAAGGAATAGTAGTGGTCAGCTTAAGGCAGGTATCAGGTGTGTCAGATGTCAGACAAGTTGTAATGTGTCATAAATCCGGTGTCTATATTAAATCCATGATTTTTTGTATCCAGTAGATTTATGAAGTGAAGTTCGTAGGCTCGTCTACGGAAGGTGTCTTGTAAGTTCCCTTTGAGGATTAGAACTGAGAGATCGGAGAGGGAGTGGAGTGATTGTCTTGTGAGAAGTGTGCACCCACAGGTAATGGGTGTTTTTGTGTTTGATGGGTTTTTGGTGTGCATTCATTCTGGTGCGCAGTTGTTTGGTTTCTCCTGCACATTTTCCATCAGGGCATGTTGGTGCACTGGATGAGAGATGCTGCATTTCTAGGGGTGCACGTGTAAGATCCAGGAATGGTGATGGTTCTGTAGTAATTGTGAGGGTGCTGAAGATATTTTAGCAGGTTTTGCATTTCTTGTTCTGGCATGGTCTGGATCCATTCGGTGTGGTTTGGGTCAGTGGCGATGTGTAGGGGGTGCATGTGCACCCCCTGAGAGCACTGGTGCACCCCTGACAGGCTGTGCTCCCTGCTTAGGTGATGGGCAGGGGGGGCAGGCGGGAGCACCAGTGCCCCCCTGCGAGCACCAGCCAGGGAGTAGGAGTGCCAGATGAACCACTGCAGCCACTTCTGACAGCACTTCAGCTGCTTCCCAGTTGACATGATTAGCTGCAGGGGGAGGCTGACTGGTCACTGGAGGGGGGGGCACGTCCCCCCCTCCACCCCCCACTAAGGTGGCACCAGTCATCCAAGATTTGGGTCATGGGGAGATTGCTTCTGGTGATGAGGTTCTCAAGATTCGGTGCTTTTTAAAGGCTAGGATGTGTGGTTCTGGAAAGAACTATTTAAGAATTGGGTCGTCTTCTAGTATGAGTTGCAGTTGTTTGAGGATTTTCTGTGTCAGTTCCAGGGAAGGATGGTATGTCATAACTAATGGTGTGCGATTCATGGGGATTTTCTTTTTGTACTGCAGCAATCCTTCATGGGGAGTCAAGGTGGCTGTTTTAAAAGTGTGATCTCTCTCTCTCTGGAGGAGTGTCCTGGTTGAGTGAAAGCCCTTTGAGATTTGCAGTGTGAGATCGCAGATATTCTCCTCGGGTAAATTCGGTGGCATCAGACAGCTTGCATGTACATTACAGCTTTCTTGGTGTGTGTAGGGCGATTGCTGGTTCTGTGTAGATATGTATGTTGGTCTGTGAGTTTCTTGTATATGGTGGTTTGTATTTTACCGTTTTGGATATTGATCATAGTGTCCAAAAAGGAAATGTTGGTGCTGGAGTATTCAAGAGAGAGTCTGATGGAGGGGTGATGATGGTTGAATTTGTGATGGAAATCAATCAGAGACTGCAGGTTTTGGGTCCAGATGATGATGATGTCATCTACATATCTCAGGTATAGCATGGGTTTGATGATGCAGTTCTTGAGGAATTCTTCTTCCAGGTGGGCCATAAAAAGCTTCTTTTCTACCTTAGAGAACTTATAACATCAGCAGAGTCTCCCAGTACCTGAATAAGGGTGTTTGTGCCCAAAACCTTGCAAAGAACTTTTTTCCAAATATTTAGTTGGTCTAATAAGATATCACATCTGCCCATATAACCTTGCCTGTTGTGGGCCATATGACATGGCTCTATGGGCTGGGCGTTGAGCACCCTGGGGGTCTGCAGACTATGTCTGATGGGTCTGCGAAAGATGACTGAAAACAATCAAAAGTATGCAACTCCCCACATGTAAAATTCAGAGAGGTCTGCACCTCTATTTGAAATGTTTTAGGGATCCTCAAATGAAAAATGTTTGAAAACCACTATTTTAGATGATGTAGTAAACCACTCTTTGAACAGTTTCTTCTAAGTTTTACCTGTGAAGTGTAGTTTGTAAACGTACATAAATCCATGTGTTTACTATTTCCTGTTGAGATTCTAGCAAGACAATATTGCTTCTTTAATTTCCTGACATTCTGTGGCAGACTTAGAAGGGTTAAGTGATGGCATGTGTTTTCTGAGGTTGTTTTATTTTGTTGGTTTTTTTTACAGCTATAATGAATTCCCTGTGCTGAAACTAGATTTATTTGACCGATTTGAAGGATTCCTGACCACACCAAATAACAAACTGTCCTCAAAAGCCAGTAGTCCCAATAGCCCGTCACCAATGTTCAGGAGAACAAAACAGGTATTTAAAGTATTTTTAATTATAAGACTAATTTTGAAAAGTGACAGTCTGACTCTCTCCTCTAACTCAGCTATTCAGGTTGACTGACTGTGGTTGAAGATGCAGCTAAACGTTATATTCACCAAGGAACTAATGCTGCACAGAACCTGTAAGCCTTGAAGTACTTGTGTGTACGCTTGCAAGGACAGAAGAACAAATGCCAGAGTTCTGGCTCAGCCAGACACCACTGGCATTGAAGCCATGTTTAAGTGGTACTAGCTCCATTGGGTACTCATGTCTGATAATGGGCACCCAAAACATGTCCTGTACTTCCAACTTACCATTGGTCACCTCTCTAGAGGTTGGCGGAAGAAGAGATTCAAGGGCACCTTGAAGGCTAGTGTGAAGAAATGCAGTATAAACATCAATACTGGGAGACTCGAGCACTGGGTTGTCCCCAGTGGCATTATGATATATGACATGGGATCGATCGTTCTGAGCAGACTCGTCTCACTATGGAAGCAGATGTGCGAGGCACCAAGGGAAAGAGCCGTGACCTGACATCACCAGGATCTACTCCTTCCTTCTCCCAGAATTATTCAGCATGTCTTTAGTTGAACATGCAGATCTCAGATCGGTCTTCTCAGTCATCTACAGACTCACCAGCAACGTCCCTATTTACTAGAAGGCTATCATCCTTGTAGCAAAGGACTGCCCAACAGCAGTGGGGGGTGGTGTATGTATGTCTGTTGCAAATGTTAAAAGCTAGGGAGGCTCACCTCAAAAATGTTTGAGGGAGAAAACTGTGGGCCTCTTTTCAGTTATTTGTGTCTCTGAGACTGAAAACCTGGAACCGTTATCTGGTAGTGCTCTTGCTACTTCATCAGTCAGCTCTTCTGATGTGGACAGTTCTCAACCAATTTTCTTTCCTGGGCAGCATGAGAAAGGAGCACAGCGATTGTAAAGGGTGGAGAGCTAGGTCTCTCTCGTGGTTGTTGGAGCATCGCTTGAGGCACCCCATGTGGGATCAGATATAGCGGCTGCGTCGATTTAGCAACCTGTCAGTCTCATCACAGCACTGGGTGTCTGGTATTTTAGATAAGGTCCAGGTTTCTGTACCTGCTGAAACCTTGCTGCAAAGTATTGGAGCTAGCACTTTGTGTTTAGATATCAGTAGTCAAAAAGTTTGTCAGGAGCTTTGAAATGTAGCTATACAGGCATACCTCATTTTATTGCGCTTCGCAGATATTGCATTTTTTACAAATTGAAGGTTTGTGGCAACCCTGCGTTGAGCAAGTCTACTGGCACCATTTTTCCAACAGCACTTGCTCACTTCGTGTCTCTGTGTCACATTTTGGTAATTCTCACAATATTTCAAACTTTTTCATTATTATTATATTTGTTATGGTGATCTGTGATCTTTGATGTTAATATTGTCATTGTTTTGGGACGCCACGAACCGCGCCCATATAAGATGGTGAACTTAATCGATAAATGTTGTGTGTGTTCTGACTGCTCCACCGACCGGCCATTCCCCCGTCTCTCTCCCTCTCCTCGGGCCTCCCTATTCCCTGAGACACAACAATATTGAAATTAGGCCAGTTAATAACTCTACAATGGCCTATAAGTGTTCAAGTGAAAGGAAGAGTCGCACGTCTCTCACTTTAAATCAAAAGCTAGAAATGATAAGCTTAGTGAGGAAGGCATGTCGAAAGCCGAGATGGGCCGAAAGCTAGGCCTCTTGCGCCAAACAGCTAGCCAAGTTGTGAATGCAAAGGAAAAGTTCTTGAAGT